AAAATTTTATGTCGGCCGAAATGATATCAGTTGGCATTCCTGTCAAAATTTCTATCAAGAAATCACTTTAGCGCAATCCGTGTGCGCAAATTTGCACACACTCGACGTATTGTAGAACTGTAAAATGATAATTGGGAGGGTTGTGAAAGGAAGCGATCGTGAACCAACTTTTGGTACTATACTTGAAAACGCTTGGAATGACTGACTAAAATCACGAAACACCTGTCACGATATTAACTGCCGAGGCTGAGATTCGAACTGTGTACCTCCCAAATCAAAGTCAGAAGCTTTATCTTCCGAGACAGCTTCCTCTATAACAGGATCTTAAAAGTCACTATCAGATGTTTCTAATTAATCATTTAAGCAATGCAAATGAAAGCGTTCCATTTAACCATAAGTTGTGAGACCGGAAGTTCTCCCGGCCTTGCTATGAACATTGCCGTCCTCTGGAACGTGAGGACAGGCACCAGCTTTTTGGAAGAACCTGTTTATTGTATTATCAGGGCAGAAGCCAAAGCTGCACTGGAAAAATCATCAGTGACTTGGGGGGAGTGAGCGAAGATTGAGGCTACGAATTCATAGAAATTTGGCTAAAATAGGTTTAAAGCCATCTGCTTTGCTTTTGCAGTATCGCCACCCGTTTCCAGAAATAAAAGCTTCCATTGTTTGTTCCGTGTAAAGGTCAAATTAGTTTCAGCTGGTAAGGACAACCGAAAACAATTATTTCAAACATCAAGTACATCCAGGCTGTAAGAGTGGTTGGTCCTGATATTTCGTGCGTAGAGTGGGCCACTATGTGCGTACACTTGCAGGAAGTCATGTGAAATTTTTCGTCATCGTTGAAGTGGTGAAATGGTTGTCTTTTTTTTCTTTTTTGTTTCATACTTGTCTATCTTGCATCTTGCCCCATCGAAATTGTCAAAATACGTAAATTACACTGAACAGTCGGCGTCAGGCACGCGCCTTCGTTTTAAGAACCTTTCATGCTTCCGCAACACGAGATATTACAATTGTGTCATTTGTGTTAATGTTTCATGTTTCACGTGGTTGTGTTTCCGGTGCACGAAATCACAGTTGCCTCTGTTCTTCGTTTTTAGGATTGATCGCTAAAACAGTAACGGGGTCAATCTGTATGAACGTTTATGACGGATCTGTACGCTTGAAATGCGACAAAAACAAGAAGGATAATGATTAGAAAGCTTTCTTCTTGGTCTTAGAACATCTGTAGTTTGGAAGTATTTTAAAATTCCTGTCAGAACCTCAGAGTTCTCTGAAAGAAACCTGTGCCCAGTCAACATCCAAACTGGGTTTGTCTGCATGGCCGAACTCTGAACAACAGCCAGCAATTTCCTGGATATTTGTACACTGTAGTTTGGGGCTACTAGGCACGTGGCGAATGGCCGCCCTGACCTGACTCCCTGGAGACAATAGGAAGAAGTGATCTGAAAACTTAGCTCACAATCAAAGAAGAAAGGCCAGAAGGCAGGATCATTCGCGTCAATACTTGTTTAAATTCGTATCACATTTACCTTCTTTTGTTCGGTTAAAATCAGATAGAGAACATTTCGTCTCGTGAGAACACAACAAACAACTATGCTTGTTTCTGTAAAGACAGAAAAAATAAACTATATATTTTCAGTGTTTTACTATGTCCCTTTCGTTGTGTTTTTCAGAGTGAAGGGAAACAAACGTTGAAAATTTGTCTTGTTAACGTTATCCAGACACAAGAAGCTGATAGTCACAAGGAATGTACATAATATAGTAGATCTCTGGAAAGTAAGTTCTTGCAGATGTTGATTTCTAAGAGCAGAGGACAAGGTAGGAAGAGCCGCCTGCCGTAGGGCCGACCGATCTTAAACCCAGGGAAGGACTATGATGGTATCCAAGCATATATTTTAGGATATCCTTCCGAAAGATACTTAATTATGGTCCTTGGACAGTGGGCCCTGTATGTAATGATACTGTAGCTGTCCACTATTATGGCTCTCAAGTTTACATTTCGTTAAATAAAACCAGATTTCACCACTTTTCGTAAAATTTCGTTCCTTCCCTCACAGTCGATTATTTCTCATGCAATAAGTAGTAACTTTAAAAGTACCATCTTCTGGGACGAAAGGCCGTGTACTTCGGTAGATATCGACCGACGTTTCGAAAGAAAATACTGTTTCCGTCTTCAGGTTCGAAGAGTAAGCCAAGCAAGATACATCCCATCGCTGCGAGAACCTTAAATCCAAGAAGTAGCAATTTGTTCACAGCTAGTGCTTCGTGCTCAAAAGCATAGAGCTGGTATTTTTTGCCTTTTGTACACCAGTTCATGCCATCAATAATGATGTTTGGTGACCTCGGTTTGTTCTTTCCTGGTACAGGAAGCTTCTCTTCCGCTGCTACTTCTCTTCCTATTCCTTCAGTCAGAGTTTCTGGTCTTCCTAAATGAAGGGCTATTTGCTGTAAGAAATGCCTGTTACAAAGTCATCTACGTTTTTTATTGCTAGTGGGGTGGGACCAAGTCCCTTGTACTGCGGCCACTTCTGGCCTACTGTACCAGCCCCAGATGATAGGTGAGGGTGACTGTGGAGCAATTGGTGGAAAGAAGATTGGCAGGGGAAACCGAAGTACTCGGAGAAAACCTGCCCCAGCGCCACTTTGTCAACCACAAATCCCACTTGACCAGACCCGGGATCGAACCCGGGTCGGCGCGGTGGGAAGCCAGCGACTAGTTAGTTAGTTAGTTATTGGAGAGGGTGGGTTTCCCCATGCACTTAGACCAGTATTGGTCCATTGTGCTTCCCTCTATGATATTTTACCAGTCTCTATACTCTACCGATAATGGTGCGTACCATCAGTCCCGCCGAGCAAGCGAGTTCGGCCACTTGTTTGGCGGTGTCTATAATGCTTCCCCCATCTATCAGAGGCCGTAGAGACTATTGTTGGGCGGGAAACGTCCTGGAATTTGGCTCAGTGATCTCCTTTGGAGATATGAGGTTCTTTTACGTGCCGTAAAGTTACGACACGGGACACACGGCTTAAAGTCCCTCCCGGAGGACTTGTTCCCTGAATTTTTCCGCCCTTAAAAATTCGACGAACTCCGCCGGGTATTTGAACCCGCGTACCACGAGTCATGAGGTGAGAACGTTACCTCTAGACTACGGAGGCCGCTAAGTCAGCGACTAACCGCTTGAGCTATGGCGCGGCCCGATTCCCGTTTAAGTATGTACGAATTTCCCACCGGCCTCTGTTGAAAACAGGATCTAGCAACTTTCTTATGATGACGCACGGTCGCCAAGATAACTTCTCCCAATTTCCATAATATATATCGAGCTTGCAAATGAATTAAATACGTTTTATAATAGGCTAGAGAAGTATTAACTTTAAGAGTATATAATACGTTTAAATACTTTCTTTGTCGCCTCTCTCAGCGGAGACAAGAACCGACCTTTTGTTTTCTCATCACAAAACGATAGGGCCACCGTATAGGATTGGCATTCCTTTCTCAACTGTGAAACATTTTGTTTGACATGACAATACACCGTATTTCATAACCAACTTGGTCAGTCATGAGTACCACATTACTGTAACTGCAATATGAAAACCAGAAAATAAAAGATATACTTGTATGTGGGGTATCTTAGCAGGCGTGGAAGAGATTTTCACATTGAAGATCGAGACAATACATTATGGCTAAGTGGTGATACAGAATTACCAGACTACACGGTGTCTGAAGTCAAGTCTTTGCCAAGCTGTTCAGACACTGTCCTGAGAATTCACTCCATCAATACGAGCGAATAATGGAGTACATCACGACACTGCACGTTACAATATAATTCGAAGGTAGGACGATACGTGAATGGTGAGTTGAAAAATATTTGGAAGGAAACGATTGTGGTTTGTCGAGGTACTGTTCAGCTTTGTATTGACAGAGAAGCTTAGGAACCCACTTTCATGCATTTTTAATGTATATTCTATAAATTTCTTGCAATAGTTATACAGATGTGTTGGTAAGATGGTTCAATTGAGTCCAGAATCTGTTGTCTTCTTGTCTCCTTTCTAAAAAACTCCGACATAAAAATGTGCAAAACTCTATTGCTGTCTGCTTCATGCTGGTTTCTGACTTGTCTTCTTTTTTTTAATTCGCTTAGTGGGGGGTGGAGTCCAGTTTGGTCCAGTTGGCACGGCGACCACTGATTGGACTATTGTACCTGCACCGGGTGGTTATGATGATGGAGAATTTGGTGGAATGAAGATTGGCAGGGGAAACCGAAGTACTCGGAGAAAACTTACTCCAGCGTCCCTTTGCCCACCACAAATCCCATTTGACCAGACCCGGGTTTCAACCCGGGCCGTCGCGGTGGGAAGCCATCGACTAACTGCTTGAGCTATGGCGCGGCTATTCTGACTTGGCTTACTCTTGAACCCTGAGTATGGAGACATGTTCCTCCGAAACTTAGGTTGACTACACTCCCAACTTCATGTTGGTTTCTTGTTTGAATTATCCTTCAACCCTGAAGATGTAGGCGATACGTTCCTCCGAAACGTCGGTTTTCGGAGGAAAGCACCACACCACTGCTGGGAGCGACTGGGAGAATCTCTGCGTAGGACTATTTCTTTATTCTTCAGTCAATAAATTTTCCCGAAGCAGTGCTAGATGGCAGTAGTAGCTTGATTCTTGGAGTCTACGTCGGGAAGCTTTCTGTCCGGTTGCATGCGACCATATATATGTTTATATTTTACTATAACATTGTAGAACTTGGATAGTGAACGGAAAGTGTTAAATTTGTGGCTAGTAATCAAATTTATATTTATGGCCTGGTAGTCACACGGCTGCTCTGAGATTGACAGTATGCTTAGTCTCTCCATCTCACATGTTACCGCATGTTACCACCATCATCTTTGGCCTTCCGCAGGCAGTGCCACGGATNCACGGATCAGTAAGAAGGCCGAGTGCGGCCGAGTGAATGGGTTAGGAATGTTTGTTCACAGGAAGGTAATTATTGATGTGTTATATCAGTGTCGCGTTGGTGTTGTGTTTATTGTTCCTTTTATACCCTTCAGTTATACCAGTAACATTATATACTTTTCTTCCGACGTCGGCTTTTTCATGGTGATTTACATTTGTAATACCCAGTTAAATTCCTGGATTCTGCTACAGCGAGCATACTGTACCGCTTTGCTCAGTTCCCTGACCCGACCAGGATATTTGTAGCATTAGTTACCTTTAGAAGTTTGTTTTTAATATGAATTAGATAACGATTAATTCATTTAAGGCCCCTTTGCGCGTCATAGTTTGTAAATTTGTCCCCGGACTCAGCTGCGGCATATGAAGTTAATTTTTCTCAGAATTACTGAGTTTTTGGACTTTGTCTGTCGTCCGGTGTTCTGAAGACTTAGACAACACAACGTTTTGGAGACTGGATCTCTTTCCACCCTCAGGTGAGGTCTCCAAAACATTGTGTTCTCTAGTCTTTAGAATACCGGATTGTGGACAAAGTCCAAAAACCTGGTAGTTCTGAGTGTTGTACACCATTGTCAGAACCCTTTAGAATCTACTTAATTTTTCATGTTCACCATTTAATGCAGAATATATTTCATTGTCTCCTGTACAGAAACATTTAAGAATATGGTGAGAAGCCCATGTATGATGTTCTTGCTCTGAAGTGTAGAGTTTTTATTGCATTACACTAGTGTTTTTTTTAGAATTTCAATATAGTACAACAAAATCACCAATGAGGTACATAACTAGCTACATTTCAGAGCATAGATATGATAAGTGTGCGTGTCGTTACAATTTGGAAGTGTTCCAAATAAAATTTGTGGCAATGACATGTTGTATTGTCATCTAGCATCATTTCTGTTTTGTATGGGTTGATGGTTGAAGAGTCTTCAGTCATTTCTTTATGCCTATAGACATGGCCTTTTGATTTCTTGCATGCTCCTTGTCATCCTCTTGTCTTTAGCAATATGTAACTGAACTGTGTTCTAGGTCATTCTATACATGTCTTTCCTATAAATTTTAATTCTGATACTCTTCTCAGTATCCTTGTTGTATTTATTCCTTTTACATGGATAAAACATAATATTTTTCACAAAGTTAATAGAAAGTCCATCGAGTGTAACAATTTGTAGGTCACTTCTTTATCACTTCTGCCTTACATGTTTCGGTTTGACACAACCATCATCAGAGGCACATAGTACAATTAAGAAAACACTGTAGTTGTTTNTGTGTCCCATAATATACTCTTATAATGTTATGTGATAAAATATAGAACCGTTTTGATTTCTATACAATTTTAAGCTTTCACTGCAACAGTATCCAGGGAAGTCTTCTTGGTGATCAGCTGTGTCAAAGTGAAGTTTGTGTCCAATGTTTAAAAAACTGTTCGGTCTCCATCATCAGGTGTTCATTTCATGAGTGTTGTGTTTACACACTATATTTATACACAAAGCTCTTGTCCATCGCAAGCAGGGCCACATGGGGGGAATTGTGGTCAGTCAGATTGTCAGTGATTGTCCTTCCCCAGTGCAGACCACATGGAAACATCAAGTCACTCATGTGGATTCATGTTGCCTGTCTTTGTACCTTCCTTAGAATGCTTTTTAAGTTGTCCAATATGTTCTATTGCGTCCAGGTCAAGGTACCATGAACAGCATAGGAGGAACCAGTATATTTTTAAAACTGTTATTCTGCACCCCAAGTATTCTTGGGTCAGTTTTATCATATTTTTGATGACCCATCATAATATTTTCTGCCTTTCTCTATTTTCAACATTCTGTCTTTGAAGCATATCTGTCATGCACCATTCCTCTATCTGATTGGTATTCTGAATGCTTCCTCTTCTGACTTCTTCTGCTATGTGTTTGTGTTGCTGCTACAATAGAAGTTTCCTCAAAATGTGACTATTCTTCAGCAGTTATTTTTTAAAATGTAACATTTTCTTTAATGTCATTGTTTTATAACCTTTTTCTTTCAATTCTCTGTTCTCTAGTCCAGTGTTACAGTTGCTTTGTGTGTGTTCCAAAATTTTCTGCTAGTGGTTGATGGTCTCCTTCAAAGCTTACATCGTTTAAATCTTTCATTAATGACTTTGTTATTATTATGTAGTCTGTGATGACTCATACACTCTGTGCCAGTTTGATTTAGTGATTCTCTGCCTCCTGTCATTATGAAACGAAAAGTTTCCTATTTTTATATCCTTCCCTGTTCTCTTCAACTTAAACATTAAAATCCCTTGTTTACACACCTCTTCTTTTCTACCATCTATGTCCAGTTCTGTTAAACTTTTTTTTCCATCCCATATACACTTGAATTACATCTGTTTCTTATCCCCCAGTGGTGATTTCATGTGTCTTTCAAGTTCCATAAAATAATGGGAAATTATTATCCTTTAAAAATTGTTGTTTATATTATCCTTTCATTCCTTTGGTTAGTCAGGCTAAATAATATTGCAACTCATTCTTTTTGTGCAGTTCCCCCCAGCGGTTTTATGTTATAGCCTTCTTGTAGCTGTTTCCTTCCCTTTCATATCCATTCTATTGCAGCAAGTTCACATATGTCCAGTTTCCTTTCTTTCATGATATCTACTGTTTCTTCCATATGTTAAGTTTCATTTACGGTCACCTCATTTAATATTTTGATTTGTAATTCTAACATTTTTCCATAGTTTCTTACTACAGATCCATCCTTCTTTCAGAGACTTTTCATCAGTTTGGAAGCAGTCTTTTGTTTCATATGGATGTGAATCTTTGATTCTCACCCTAAAGGATGAACATACATTCAGAGTACTTGAGAACAAAGTCCTGAGGAGAACATTGAGACCTAAGGAAGTCTTCCGGTCTTCTTGGGGGCCAATCAGATCAAGGCTGTGTGACAGATACAGGAGATGGGAGATGCTTGGGTGTAGATAGGATGATGACTTGTTGCCCCTTCCATGGTGCGTGGTGCTTTCAGCCCAGATTTTTGTGAGTGCTTATGTTTAAATGAGATCTTAAAATGTTAGAAAAGGCAAGGTCCTTTTTTCACTCTTTTCTAAAGTCATTCATTTTAGAGCCTTCCAAAATTCATTGAGCCACCCAGGCAGAAGAATTTAATGCTTCTCTTGCCCAGCCAGGGCATGGAGTTGATTATCAGAGGAATCGATGTGTCTGTAAACCAGTAAAACTCACACAGATCACAGCAAATGCCTGAAATAATACCTTTTTCTTATGCCCACATTCTTGGCACCCTTAATGAAAGTTCACATTTGTGCACTGAAATTCCCTTTCTTGCAAATAGAACAAACTTGAAGCTTGAGACTTGAAACTCAGGTCTCCCTTGCAGAGTGTGAGGGACAGGCATGACAGTTTGTGGGAGGCTCTGAGGTGATTGCATTGTGCTCTCTTAGAATGAACACTGCTTGAAAGTCAACTGTGAAGAAATTTGGAGTTTATGGAGTGGTGGTCTAGTGGTCAGCGTTCCTGGCTACAGATCCAGAGGTCTGGGTTCGATTCCCGGCGCTACCAGATTTTTTCTGAGAAGTATTCTGTCTGGAATTGGGTCCACTCAGCCTTGTGATGATAATTGAGGAGCTGTTTCAAGGAAATAGCGGCTCCGGTCTAGGAAACCGAAATTAACGGTCTTAGGGATTTGTTGCGCTGACCATGCGACACTCTCTATCCACAAAAGCTGGCACTAAACTTTGCTGACAATAAGCGGTTTATAGATCAGTATAGTTCGCTTACAGACTAAAATCACGGAGTTTTTCATGGTAAGTTCCAGTACTGGGCTTTTGTGAACATGGTAAAGAAGTTAGATTTGAGGTTCTCACACCTGTGGCTTACTGATTTCTGGGTTCTAATGCCATATAGCTGGAAGGGAGCATGGTGTTGCAGAGGAACATATCACCCCATCTTAGGACTGAAGAATAAGCCAAACAAGGATATGGCTGATAAGCTGAGCAAACTGCAAGAAAATCCAGCTTGATTTAGGCCACTGCAAGCCTGAGAAGAAGCGTGAAAAACCCAGTGGAAGCGTGATCTATCTGTAAGGGGACTCAGAGCCAATAGGAGCACAAGAAATGGTACCTCATGTCTTGAAAAGGGGCTGGATGCAAACCAAATGAAGCTGGAAATGTAGAGAAGGTCTAGGAAAAGCCTACATTGGGATAAATGGGGGAAGAGACAGCAAGGAAGACCAAGGAGGTTGAAGGAATAAACTGTTACCAAAGCAGCCATGGAAGATGAAGATCCAATAGTTTTATACTATATATCACTCTAATTAGGTCAAACTTTGAGTGTACTTCTGTAGCCCAGGATTTGTTCAGTCCAGTTTGTCTCAGATCGCTTAAAAATTTAGAACACTATTTGAGATGCCACTATCATTCTTTATTTCTTCTTATTTTCAAGGACGAAATCAGCCGTCTCCTGTTGGTTTCCATATACTCACTAAGCAAATTAGGGAATTCTCCACTTTTGATGTAATGTGTCAGAGTCCTTCAGCAGGGTATGCCAAAGTTGCAAATGACATTGCCCATTTTTAATTATTTTTTATAAAACACAACTTCCCTTGAGGATAATTTTACTTCTCATTCCTGTTTACATCAGTGTTTCTCTTAACAGGTTGTTTTAATATTTTTAGTTTTGTATACATTTATATTGCTCACATTTTATAGGCTGGTGCCGCGATAGCATAGTTGGTATAGCGACTGACTACAGGCTGGAGGACCGAGGGGTCAGATTCTCTTCTCCACATCATCCAGATAAGCTCTGGGGTCCACCAATCCTCCTATCCAATAGGTACCAGAGGCTCTTTCCCTGGAGGCAAAGCGGCCGGGGCGTGAAGCTGATTACTCACCTCCATCTATTGCCAAGGTCAAGAAAATGTGGATCTATATATCCACTCCCCCATATGCCTTCGTGCTTAATTAGTTAAGCACAGGGGCAACTTTATCTATGACTTTAAGTAGTAACTTAAATGTAGCATTTAAATAGAGGAACAGAATTGCTGCTGCTACCACTGCCAATGCCACTGCCACTACCACCCATGACGATGACACTGATGACTAAGGAGCCGGGGTAGCACAGTCAGTGTAGCAATTGGCCATGAACTGGATGATGGAGGGGTTGGAGTTTGAGTTCCAGTATGGTCAAGAATTTTCTCCATGTCATCCAGACCAGCTCTGGGTCCACCAAACCTCCTATCCAGTGGGTACTGGTGGTAAAACGGCCGGGGCCTGAAGCTGATCACTTGCATCCAACTAGTGCTGAGGTCAAGAAAACGTGGATCTTTACAGCCACTCCCTTATTCGGCTTCATGGCATAGTGCTTAATTAGTTAATGCAGGGACAACCAACTTTACCCTTTTACTACTACTACTACTACTACTATTACCACCACCACCACCACCACGCCGCTGCCACTGCATATACTAATGATTATAATAATAATAATAGTATGCTGCTGATTTGTTGCCATAAATCGTGGTTCCTGCCACTCCACATTGAGAGTGTTCTGAACTTTTTAGTGTTACTTTTGAACCTTGTCTTTGTAATTTGTATAACATTTTAACTTTTTTTTTTCTGCCCTGTATTAGACATGCCATTCTATGTTTGTTATGAAAGACCTATGAGAAGTGATGCTTTAGTGTAGGGGTGAGCAAATTTTCTAACCAAAGAGCTAGATTATGGGTTGCAACTGTTTTGCTGAGCCATAAAGAAGTCAACACAATGTTTTTGTATACTTTTAGTAATAGGAAACATGTCATTTGCATAATTAATGCCATTACTCATCATGTTAGTGTGGACTGATGTTGTTGTTTGCAGCTGCTGAGAAGCTTCTTAACTTTTAATTAAAAAAATGTTGACATAAATTAAACACAATAGCACCACAGGCTGGATCTGGCCCATGGTCCATAGTTTCCCTGCCATTGGTCTGGAGTCCACTAATAGAAGTTGCAGTATATCACGATGCATAGCGAATGGTCCTGTGCTCTTCAAAATATAAATACATTTTTTTCCATATATTGTATATGAAACTAGTGAAATGCTACATTTGGAGCATGGCTTTGTATGGGACTGAAACTTGGACGCTTAGGGCAGTAGATCAGAAACACCTGGAAAGCTTCAAAATGTGGTGTTGGAGAAGGATGGAGAAGATCAGTTGGACCGATTATGTGAGAAATGAAGAAGTGTTAATTAGAGTCAGTGAGCAGAGGAATATCCTACACGAAATAAGAAAACGGAAGGCTAATTGGATTGGTTATGTCTTACGCAGTAACTGCCTTCTAAAAGAAGTTATTGAAGGAAAGATAGAGGGGCGGATAGAAGTGACCAGAAGACGAAGAAGAAGACGTAAGAAGATGTTGGATGACCTTGGGGACAGAAGAGGATATTCTCATTTGAAGGATAAAGCTCTAGATCGCATTAAGTGGAGGTACTTTTTTGGAAGAGACTGTGGACCTGTCATCTTGACAGATTACTGATGAATGAATGAAATGAATGAATACGTTTGCTCTCAGGATGTGGGCTACATATTCCAAGTTAGATCCTGTTATGAGAACTGTGAAGGTTATCACTCAGATTCTTGCAAGCTGCTTTCTTGCACACAGGCCACAAACCAACATGTGGTGTGAGACTTGTAAGCTTATAAAATACTGTGCAGTGTCTTGTACCCCAAACAGTGTCAGCAGAGATTTGAAAAAAAATATTTCCTGCTCCAGTTCAAAGCAAGGTGAGTGTTCTATGTTTGATTGGTATAAAATAACTTTATCATCTTGTTGTCCAGATTTTCATGGTCATAGAAACTAAATATTTTGTGTCAAGCTTGTGTTAATATTCGTTTTTCATCTTCTAAATTCTGTAAAGATGTGAAGATCATTTAGTGTGTTCATATTTTGGCTTTCACACAGTGTAACACACTGGAACTGGAAATTTGTTCCCCCTCTCACAGGATGTATACAGAGATATAATTGACCATGTGGAACCTTCCTTTGCCAATCTTTTTAATCTGTGATGGTAACTTTATTGTATTGACTTTAGGATTATATAAATCTGATACTTATAAATACTAGCATTGGAATTTCATGTTAGATTGAAACTTGTAATGAAGAATTATGAATTCTCTCTTTGGACCACATATTCGGACTTTGAGACTTCCTTATTGCCTCGGTGTGAATTAAAATTATATATGAACTTTCTGCCATGTCTCTAACAGTTTGTCATCCATAATCAGACTGAAATAATCTGTTGAGTTGTTGATATAAATCCCTCATAGCCAATCCATAAACCTGAAAATGCATTTCCCATTAAATGATGAACATGGTAGTCACAATATGGAGGTGTACCTTTTGGCTGGCATTGCCACATGTGCATTGTGACTAGAGGCATATCGTCAGTACTAGCAGTTACCCCTTGATGAATACATAGTAGGATGCAGCGTCGAGATGTCGAGGCTTGAAGTATGAGCTTTGACATTTTAAAGGAGTCCAGTGTCTTCATTTACTTCTTTGAGCAACCTGACTGTAAAACCTCTGACAGTGTTGCCAGCCCTTATGTTACAGTTTCTGCAGTCTGTGTGGCTGACATGAATAGAGCTCTGTGATCTCAGACATGCATTTGTTTGCCAATGTATGAAGGTTGTTCAGGTGAAACATGTACACAAATTGTTTTGTGTGAAGGAGTAGAGGACGTTACAAATTATCCCCCCAGACATTGCAGCAAGGATCCCATTGATGTTTCATAAACAGTTTTCATTTGAATAACTCGCATATGTGTGGTCTCTTGTCATTAAACACCTGCATGTTCTACTACCATATGTATCTTAGTGCATAAACCCTATTGCACATATGGATAGGAGTGCCATATTTCTGTAAGTCAATATTTGATGCATTTGATATCTTCTTATCAGGGTTCCAGTGTTCAAGCATTGTTTTGCAGCAGTCTTGCCTGGCATGACCCTATAATGTTAATCCCAATCTGCTGTCACTTTGATAATTTCCTCAAATGCATGATTTGAATATGGTGCTGTCATTACACTAGGTCAGCATTGAAAGAGATGATACGAATGGTCATTTGTGTATGGTTTGGTGACAAACATATGATCTATCCCATTTCTTGACTTTTGGTTACTAGCCAAAAATAATTGATTTTAACTGTTTCTAGTCAAAATTAATTACTGTCTTGTTTGCAGTATATCGGCATTCAACTGTGGAATTTACTTTATAAAGGCAAAGTTGTTCCTGTGCTTAATTAGTTAAGCACTGTGCCATGAAGACATATGGGAGAGTGAAGGTATAGCCCCACTATTCTTGAGCTCGGCAGTAGTTGGAAGTGAGTAGTCAGCTTCATGCCCTTGCCACTTTACACCTCAGGGAAAGAGCCCCTGGTACCCATTGGATAGGAGACTGGGTGGGCTCCAGTGGTAATAAGAATGCCGTGGAGAAGAGGAAAGTCTTGCAGTCTTGCACTGTATGACCGTAAATATTTCAAAACCAGTTGGACGCATGGGGATTAAACATGAGGAGCTTGCCTAACAGCCTTCTGCAGTAACTCATCGTTCTTCAGTTTTTTTTCAACACTGTACATTGCCACAGTTCTCGTCCCAGTATTTTTTATGTGAAGAGGAATTAACGTCATGGAACCAGTTCCTTCTTGAGAAGCTAACAATCACTCAATTACTCAAGAATTTCCCAACATTTCATGCAATCCAGAAGTTCACAAGAGCCTGCCACTGGTCCCTGTCCATAGTCTGATGAATTGATTCCATATGCCACATCCTATTTCTCTCTTAATTGTATGCTCCCACCTACATCCATGTCTTCCTAGCAGTGTCTTCCCTTCTGCCTTTCCCACAAAACCCTCTGCATTCTGCTTTGCTCTCATGTATGCTACATGCCTTGCCAATCTCATCCACTTTGGCTTGATAATTTTAATTATATTTGCCAGACAAGTTCTGAAGCTGAAAAGAATCATCCTGAAAATTATTTGTTTTATATATATAGGCACCCCTGAGTTTTTTATGAACTCCTGTCTTTATGATATTAGAATGTTAGAAGTTGCAGTGTGGAATCAGCTGTTGTGCGTTTTGTCTCCTGTTTTGCTTACATTTGGAAAACATAAGAAATGTATTGCCTAACAGTAATCTTTTATTTGTAATGTCACAGCAGAACATGGATGCAATTAAAGCAGAGAAAGATGTGGATGTTATGAGTGAAGAAGAGTGTGTTGGTGTGAAGACTGAAGAGGTTTACATACCATCAGCATTTTCTGTAAAAAAGGTGGAAGCTGAGGTGAGCCTTGTTTTCAAATGAGTTTTGTGGTGATGTTTCATGTATTTATCATGTATGCCCCTTTTGACAAGTCATTTGTAACATGACATTCGTTTCAGAGAATGCTAACAATTGATTCATTTACATGAACAGAATATTTTTATCTGGGAAACAGTGATACGGAAGCTACGTAAATATCTGCAGCTCCATAATTGAGCTGTGTTCTGCTCCAGTTCCATTAGGGCAGGATCTAATTGTTTAAATTGAATAGTATATATGTATTCAGTATCTTAAAGTAATGTCTCTCATACTAAGGGAAGCATATGTGAGA